ATTAAATACATATCTGTGGACACTGTAATATTAATGCACTTGGAGAAAGGCACACACAAGTTCCACTGTGAGCTGTACTTTTTATCTGAAAACCATTATGTGATCATCCTAGTCAGTTTGGTCAGGGTTAACAAATTTAGTAAACATGTACTTAATAGTTTGTACTGCTCATTCAACCTAACCTTCAATGCAACTCTGCAAACAACTGGCTGTTGAAGTTAGCTCCATGGTCTGTGTGACTTCTACAAACATATCAAAGTGTGATATCCATTTTTCAGCCAGTACACCTGCTGTACTTGTTTATAAAACCATGCTAGTTCCAGTACCCCTGGCAGGATGAAAGGACTGTCTTGATAGGGATAAACTAACACTGGTGCTTTGATGAAGGTCTCCTTCATTTGTTCACACAAAGTATGCATCAGTTTTAATCTACAAACAGTGGTGTGCTATTTCAGAGAAGTAGGCTACAAACCATTAATAATATGATGCAAAATTTGAAAGATGTGGATTTGTCAGTTATTAAAAGCCTTTACCACTGTGATCTTCACAGGATCAGTCAGTGCTGGAAGCCCTAAGCTATTTCAAGTATAATAGGCCCCATATGATAAAAATATATTTATTATTATCATGGAAGGGACATTAAAAATATGAACATAAGTTTTATATTTGCGTATGTTCAAAGATGAAAGAGTAAAGATAAAATAATAATCTAACTAAAACGCATCTTGCAATATGCCTGTTTGCACTGTAAAATATTTTTGAATTAAGATATTTTTTCATTAGTAGATATAAGCTTTATTTATACAGCAACATTACATCTGTTTGCACATCACATTCATTTTAATATTAAAATCTGTAACATTTTCCTTCATGATTTTTAGAGAGCAAATTCAAAAATGATGTTTTCAAATGATAAGCTATGGAGTTTATCACTTTTGATGCATATGATGCTCAGGGCAGATAGCTTATCTTGCAGTATTGTTGTCAGCAGTTCCTTCTTGATGTGTTTCAGTTGCAAAAATGACCTTCCTCCTGAGCAGTTTATTACCATTGGACTCAAAAATAGTTGCAATATTGTTTCTACATTAGGGAATGCTAACTGAATCTTACCTTTAATGATGGCATGATAAAGGTCCTGGTAGTTTAAATGTTCTTTATATGCATGATTTTCATTAATATAGGCATGGAAATGCTTTATTTCCACAACAAGGTTAATATCAACATCTTCAGGATAGTCTTTCATTAAGAGCCTTACACTTTCACTTAGCTGTTTTTTGACGCATCTAAATCAACCAAAAATTAAAAATTGTTTGCAAAATGTTTGCTCTTCTCTTCAAATTGGTTTCAAGTGCATCCATTATACGGATAAAGGATTTCACATGAAATTTGTCTCTTGGAGAAAACATTTCAACAGCATTAGGTGCATTAGCATCATTGACTTCTTTTTTTATCCTTCTTTTTGATTTATTTACACATTTGTTATCTACATCAGGCAGGTTTTCATTTGCTTTACATTCAATTTCATCAAAAGTATCACAGGTTTCTTTCAAGAAGAGGAGGAGTGATGTGTAAAGTTTTGCATATGTACTGTGCATCCTGTAGAGTCTTGCTGATTTTGTAGAACTGATTCAACAGACAATTCCAAAGTTCTAACATGAACGCAAACTCTAATTCCTTTATTTTCTCATGCAAAATACCAACTTTTCTTCTTGTATCACCTTTTTCACAGTCATCAATAAGAATATGATTAAGTGCATCAACAATTGAACCATAATTAGCTGCTACAGCTGAAATAGTCTTTGTACATGCTTCTCGTATAGTGAGAAATGACTTAAGCACTACCCAGCAATTCGTTGAGCAAGAAAAGAATGTGTGTATATATTTGGTGCACAACAGCATTTTTATTTTGTGAATCCAAGACTAACTCACATTGCCTAGTGAAATATGTAAACAAAGTTGTTCTGTGACCCTTGCATCTGTTTACATTAAAATTTGTAACATTTTCCTTCATGATTTTTAGAGAGCAAAGTCAAAAATGATGTTTTCAAATGATAAGACAGTCATTAAATCCAGTCATTTGCCAGTCATTAAATCCACGATGATGTTAAGAAGAGTTTGCAGACAAAACAGTAAATGCAATCAGTTGTTGGAGATTATGCTAGCCGTTCTCTATTGTATCCTCACCATTAACTTTTGTTGAATGAAAGAGACCCTCTGAACAATATCTAATTTGATTTTTAAATGAACTCATGGATTTCTGAAATTGACCTTTCCTATGTTGACACTCTGAGGGACCTTTCTGCATCCAGTATAAAATGTTATCTTTAGTCAAGACACCCCAGAGACCACATCATTGGACTTTGTTTAGCTATTTTTTTCAACTGTGATTTCAGACTTTGTAGTATTCTAAGGTCTATTAAACACATTCACATCTGTAATATATAACCCAGTAAAAAACGATAGGTTCTTGTTCTGGCTGTGGCTGACTGTCTTGAGTATGAGGATCCTCCTTTATTACACTGAAATAAGTGTCAACCTTTGGTAATTGCTTTATCTGTTCTTCAAGCTTCTGGTTCTTTTTCCACTTCTGAAATCCACTTTCAAAGTTTCTCTTCATTTTCAGCAGCCTCCTCTGTAACAATGACAGAAATAAATTTTAGAAATATTTTTGAATGAAATATTGTATGTAAGTAAAGTTAGTAAACAATGTAATATAAAAATTACAAAAATACAGTAAATAATACAATTTGCTTGAAGAATTCTCAGGAAATTTTTATTCTCTGCTGGAATTACTTGTCTGAATGCATAAGACTCTTATAATGCAATTGTTATTGACTCTCATTATAAGAGTCACTGAAAATTGAAATGGAGTCATGTTTTTCTTTTTTAGATGCAGCTAAGAGGCCCCATGTATTATGACACCCTAAACTGTAATTTAGTTAGCTTATACCTTAATCCAGCATTGGGATTAGTGGGCACTGTCTTTCTACCAATTATGTGACCAAAAAACTCCATCTCCACATGTTGAGTGCACACTTTCGAGGTTTCAATTTCAGTCCTGCATCTTTGATGTTGTGGAATATCATTCTCAGGTTCTCAATTGAAGTTTTAAATGTTCAACCCCAAACTAGAATTTTATCCACATAGCTGAGACATTTCTACTTTAGCAGTCCTCTCAGTGTAAGCTACATCATCCTCTTGAAAGTGGCATGATGTGGAATTCGTAAAATTCTTCTTGAACTATAAAAGCAGTCTTGGATCTGCTTTCATTGTCAAAGTCAACTTGCCAGTAACCAGAAACCATATTTAATGCATGGAACCAATGAGTACCTTTCAAGATATCCAGACATTTTTTGTGCTCAATAAAGGAAAGGCATCAATGCATGTTACTACGTTCACCCATCTGAAGTCCACACAGAACCTTGCTATTCAATCATCATTGGAGGTGACAAACATACTCAAAAGTTGTATAATCCTGTCCTTCAACATCTGTATTATTTCAGCAATGGCTATACATTTCAATATAAAGTGCTATAACATTCTTTCTCAGATACATTACTGTTTGAGTGTGGTAATTCTCCCAAATGTGGAAGCAGTATTCCATGACTACAAAAGCAGAGTAGTGCAGTGCTGCTGTGGTAAGATAAATACACATGAAACAGTTTACTATTTAGAAAGCATGTGGTAATTCTCCCAAATGTGGAAGCAGTATTCCATGACTACAAAAGCCAGAGTAGTGCAGTGCTGCTGTGGTAAGATAAATACACATGAAACAGTTTACTATTTAGAAAGCATATTTTCTCAACATACATGCACCAAGCCCTCTGTTCTCAGGACCAGTCTAGGTGACAGTCCACATTAGGTCCATCACTAAGATACCAATACCTGACTCAAATCAGAGACAGCTTCCTTTACTCAGCTTATCATTGCAAATAAAATGGGCTAGAGATATGATAGAAAACACAGTCATACTAACCTTACCCTACCAAAATAGTTACAGAAGGTTTGGGGGTGGCAGAGGTTCGGGAAGACAAAATATTAACATAAAACTTCAAATTTAGGTCAAGCTTTAATGAAGCATTACTTTTTCCCTTTCTTTCTGTGTATGCAACATTACTTACTTGTGAAACTATACAATTACACTTGTCTAATGGGTAAAGTATTGTGTATATCAGAGTAGTTCTGGCGTTAAATAATATTTTTTCCATGTTTCATGCGAGTCACACTAATATAAGCTTCCATGAGATAGTTGTTGCCTTCTGTAACCATTACCTAAGTAAAGGGATTATATCATGTTTGTGACCTTTCAACATTTGGTTATTAATGCATAATACTTATTTCTTTCTCTTATATTACTATTAGACACTGTTTCTTCTTATTGCATGGGGCCAGCTGTGATCTAGTGGTTAGTATATTTGACAGTAAGATTCAAGGCATAATATGCCACTGAACACATTATATATTTTTAAGTTGTTAGGGAGTAATAAAAGTGACAGTTCATGCTATTACTTGGTTAAAAAGAGGTGGACAAAGCTCTTGTAATAGTGAGTGCTGCTGGCTTTGTTCCTTTTCTTATTCTTACTGTGTGAAATGAACAGATTTGATAAGCTGTACCCCACCTCATTTTTTAAGACTAGATTTAAGCTTTAGAATTTTGGTAACTTTTTATTTTGCTCAATCCCTCCTATTTATCTTGAATAAAACAATTTTGTTTTACTAAATTCAAAATACATAACTTGTGTTGATGTATTAGTCTGGGAAGTTACCAGACTAGAAAATGACCATAGTATTATGTTATAAATGAAGTATGTGATCAATAAGAAAACTTCAACAATTGTCTTTAAATTGCAAGTATTTTGGAAATTTTATTGCAATGAGTTAATTCATTATGTTAATAATGTGTGGGTGGTGAGGTTTGTGAATTCTTCTGTGTGATGTTAACATAATTAAACAAAATTAGCATTCTTTCTTTAAAATATATGTACTAACTTGAACTACAGGAGGTGGAGGAGGTAAAGGAACATGGGGCAAACCTGGAAGTGAGTTAATTGTTGAGGAAGATGATATTGACAAAGATGTTCATGACCCAAACTATGACTCTGATACCCAGGTTTGTATTTATATACATGCATACATATATCCTTGTAAGATAAGTGGTAGTATAGTCAAATGTTAATAAGGACTTGTATGACTTTGCTTGTAATTTGTTCCCAAAATAATTGGATGTACTATAGTGTCATCTGTTGACATGTAAATCTGTGATTCTAAAATGACAAATATTAAATACAGTATATTTTAAATGTTGTACTGGATTTTAATTATTATTGAAACATAGCACAAACTGTGGATCACCTTCAGTGGGTTACAAAAACTTTATTAATGTTATATTGAGTTTATGGAAATTTATTGTGTATAATGCTATCTATTGATAATATATTTTTAATTTGTTTAACCTTTGGAAACCTGTTGTGTTATACATTTTATTTTCTTGTTTTTTTAAAGACTTTCATTTTACACATCTTTCTTTTGTCATTGTTATTGTTTTCACTAAATGTATTACATAATTCATATGACTTGGAAAACCTTACAGTTTTATTGCATAACAATGAGATGAGGCCAGTCACAAAATATGATTTCTTATTCAAATGGCATTAAATCAACAGTTCACCAACTATATGTAAGTTGAATAATATAAGCCTAGAAATTTTGATTAGTGAAGACAGAAACATTTAGTAGTCAGTTATTCTGTATCAGCCGTATTATTCTAAACTGAATTGTGTATGTATGAAAAAAAGGAGATGAGTGTTTTCAGTATCAGATCATCAGCCATTCAGTACAGAAAGAACAAGTTAATTAATGATAGTAATTAAATTCTAATAAGCTAATATATACTGAGTAACTACTCCTGTCTCAAACTTCAGATCTCAAATAGTGTGCAAGTTTGTTAACAATCGGAAAAAGTTTTAAACACATCGGAAAATTGATAACTTTTAAGAGATTTTATCTTCAGAAAATGCTCTGTACTTAATGGATTGTGATGTATATACCTTAGTTTTCAGAGTTTCTGCTTTCCCTTACCATCATGATAATGCTACAGAAAGTTGCATGTTCAACCCATTAAGTGCATGTACTGGCTGTTTCATGAAATGTATCTAAAGAACAAGTGATCATATTTACAGTTTATTAACCAAACAAAAAAAAATGCATAGTTTCTGGTATGAAGGTTGAACTTCTTATGTTTTATTTTTTGTAGGATAATTGTGAATTTGAATCAATTTTGCCAAAACTGACAACAGAAGAATTTGAAAGAGTAGTAGATACTGTTATTAAAGAATATTTTGAAAATGGAGACACCAATGAAGTAGCTGTAAGTGGTGAATACTTATGTAATTATTGATGTTATAAAACTGAGAATATCAAGATGTTAAAGTAAATTTTAAATGGTTAATACAGTGTTTATAAAATCTGGAATGTACAGACACCAGTAAAATAGGTTTTAAGTGGTTAATACAGTGGTTATAAGATTTGGAACATACAGACACCAATAAAGTAGGTTTTAAAATGGTTAATGAAGTGGTTATAAGATCTGGTACATGCAGAAACCAGTAAAATAGGTTTTAATTGGTTAATACAGTGGTTATATGATCTAGAGCAGTAGTCAGCAACCTATGATAATAATTTGGCTGACCCGCCAAAAGTTGGCTTCACCATTGCAACCCGTAAGGGCACAATCATTGCTCAGTTCAAATTTCTTGGCTATGTGAGAAGAACAACGATATTAAAGGAAAGATGGGAAAGAGTCACAGCTACGGAGAATTTTAAGATCAATTTCAGGGAAAAATATCAAACTGGTCAAACTATTAATTTTTTGTATGTAAATAAACATACACATTTAAAATACATGTACCAGTATTAATAATTATATGATTATCACTGACCCAACACAATGACTAAATTTTTCGACAAAAAAAAATAATTGACCCACGATCAAAAAAGGTTGCCGACCACTGATCTAGAGCATATTAAAAATATGCATGCACCATTTTTTGTGATATGTAACTCGTAAATTCCTAGTATCAGTTTCACTCTTCGATTTAAATGTTTTATGTGCATAACAAAAATTCAATGTATGAATGACACAGTTTTGATTAATAGGGTATTTGTAGTACCCATTAGTTGTACCTAAAGAAGTATTTTCACACAGTAATATTAATGCTTTAAAAGTTTGTTAAGATGTCACAATAGTTATCGTCAAATCTTTTATAATTTAGTTGTGCCTCCTAACTCCATCTGATAGCTAAAAAATGTAACAGATTGTTTTTATATATATTCTTAGTTACACATAGTAAGAAGAACCTTAAGACATATAGTTTAAGTTCTACGATTGTTATGTGAGGTATTTTAATGAATGTTGATATAATATTAATCAGGAGAGACTTCATTCATTATCTAGGAACCAATGAACACAGATGCATTTATAAATGTAAAGAAAGTCTTAACTGCACTGTCTAGTGTGACAGTTTTCATACTGGAAGTTTTTCCTGTATAAAACTAATTTCTGTGTGTGGCATATTTGGTGGTAAATATCAAAATGTTTATTTAACAAGATAATATTTAAAAGTAATTCATAGGTTTTTCTGCATTTCACTCTCTTGATAGCAGGTTAATCAAATTTTATGCTAATCATTTTCCTCCATACACAGTGGATGAAAAACCTTCAAAGCTGATAAAATAATTGTGTGATATGCTGATTTACATAATGTGCTTTGCTTCCAGTTTATACTGTAACCTATTGGTATTTTTAATATTCTATTTTTATGTTGCATAGGTGCATACCTGGATATTTTATATCACCTGATTTATTTATTTTTTAAATGGAAAATTGTATGTTAATGTGATCTTACATCTGACTGTTACACAGATGACTATGAAAGAGGTCAACCTTGCAGGACTACAGCCAGCTCTAATTGAAAAGATGATCATTATGGCCATGGAACGAAAGCCATCTCATCGGGAGATGACTTCTGTCCTTCTCTCGGATCTTTATGGACATGTGTTTACAGAGGAAGACTTTGAGCAAGGTTTCAATTCATTACTCAAGAGTATGACCGACCTGGTCTTGGACACTCCCAGTGCTCCAGTAGTTAGTATATGACCAAGTTAATTTTACATTTATGTATTGTGATAAGTTCTGATGTGTGTGTGTGAGTGTATATATATATATATGAACTATAAGTAATTTAAGGAGATTTCAATTTGTTTCTGAAGTTCTAGCTTTTGTTGTCAGTAATTGAAGCACAAATAAAGAGGAGTAGAATGTAAATTTATGGACATACAAAAATAACATAAAGCACAGTAGTAGTAAACATTCCCTACCACACATCTGTAGAAGCTTTGGAGGTGGGGCTTAAGTTCAGAAGGATGATATGTTAACTTGAAATTTCTAATTTAGATCAAGTTTTAATGTGGTATTTTTCGTTTTTTTCAACTCTTGATGTAATTTTACTTGTTGTGTTTAAACTAAATATTTAGTCTTATCCTAAAAATCTGATTAGTAAATGTCTTTAATGATAAAATTGATAATAATTACAACTCACTTGCTTAACCTGGTTCACATCATAACAGTCATTGCTCTTGAAATTGATTATATAGAAAGTGCCTAGACCATTTATGACTATCATTTACCAGCTGGTTTGATGAACCCTGGTATTGGACAAGTGGCCTCGTTGGCACTAGATATATGAGATGTAGTGTGGTTAACATATTCTCCTTTGTTTTCACTCGTGGTTTTTTTAAAATTACAGTATTATATAATTTATGCACTTAGGAGGATATAAGTTTTATTCTTTAATTTTTAAAAAATTTTATTCTTTATTACAGGCTTGTCAAATGTATGTATTTTGTGTGTTTTTTATGTCATTAGGGACTCTATAAGTAATAAAAACATGGACACGCAAACAATTTGATGCATAAATAATTTATAGAAATGTGTTTAAAAAGGCTGACACAGTTTAAAAATACATCATGACCAGTTAAAATAGATTTTTTCATCTGAGCATGGCCCTATGGTTAGTATGCTGGACTTTAGATTTGAGGTTTCATGATTTGCGATCCATTATCACCAAAAGAAAATTGAGCTCCACACTTTAGGGCCATGGGTGTGATGGTCAAATCTCACTGTTTGGTCTGACAAGACTAGCCCATGAGTTTGCAGTAGGTGATGTTGACTAGCTGCCTTCTCTCTAGCCTATGAATTCAAAACTAGAGATGGCTAGTGCAGATAGCTTTGCAGAAAATTTATCAAACAAATAAATTCTTAATTGCTTGTTTTTTGCTAAACATGTCTAATTGCCCAGTAGATGATAATCTAATTATTAGTCATTGTGGCTGCATGCCTTTATCACAGTAATAAGACTGTGCAGTTAAGTAAACTCTTATTTTACCTAATAGTTTTTGTGAGATGGTTAACTAAGAAGAATAGGTTGATTACACTATTGAGCTGTTACGTCTTTAATAAGTATCTTATTACCCAATGTTGCTATTTTCTTAACATTTAGATATCTTGCTTTTATAATAATTTACAATTAGAATTCTCCTTTTACAGATGATTGGGAACTTTATAGCTCGTGCTGTTGCAGATGACTGTATTCCACCAAGTTTTGTTGAAGGTTATCGTGGGAATGTGGATTGTCAGTACATCAGGTAATTTCTGACTTAACATGTAAATATAGATTGTGAAAGAATATATACATAGGGTACAGTTTTGATTATTATTGCTATTTTTTAAAATTTATGTTAATTTAAACTTTACATGTCAAATGAAATAATAAAACTATATTATGAAGAATGAAATTGTCCCTGTTTTGATTTTTGATGTATACTGTAAAGAGGTGAAGAGTATTTTCAGTGACCGTAAAAGGTTTGAACTCTGTACAGGTAAAAGTTTTGATTATACTGAGTATTTCCTCTACTGTTTCAAAATGTTGGTGCACTAAGTAACTCTACAACTAGTTTTAACAGTTTTAACTCTATTGTTTTACTAACTGTTGGGAATAAGTTTATTAAATTAGATTAAGTCGATTTTCTTTATTGTTAAAAATAATTTGATTGTTTCTTGAAATTAATTTACTTGTAATTCTGCTTATTGATGTAAAATTGATCTATTTAACAGGTTCAGATGTTATTCTTCTAAACTGTAAAAAAAACTTAAGATATTTATTTGCACCATCCCCAATTGATCACATTTACCTGGCTTATCAATACTCTTTTGACTAATAAAATAATCTATATAAAGATTTGACTGTTATTCATGTTGTTGAGTGAAAATAACACATGATTAAGTAATTTACCTGTAACTTCACTATTTGACTGAGTTTCAGTTTCTGTATTGGATAGTTAACTATGATTTTACTAGTTGACAAAATAGTAAAATTGATGCTTCACTTGTTGACTGAGTAGTTCACCTATAATTTTGTGGGTTTTGATTCCTATATTGGAGAATTAGCTATAATTTTACAACTTGACCAAGTAGTTCACCTGTGTTATCTTACTGTTTTAGTAGAGAAGTGTGTATTTGAGTGATTTATATATATACTCACTTAAGAATCTGTTCTTTAGTTTTTGTACTTAATTTGCTAATTAACACTCAAATTATCAACTTGTTTTAAAACATCCATTCACTATATGGTGGGGGTCACATTTTGAATCATATTGAGTTTTTTTTCTATCTGTTTGAACACTCCATCTAAAGAAGTGACCAACAAATATGCAGAAAATCAGGTATTTTCTTTGTAAAATACATATAGTGGCAATTAGTGAGATTAACTGCAGTATTGATGGTATTTTCATGTTTCTTATGTCATTACGGACCCTATAAGTAACAAAAACATGGACACACAAATAATTTGATGCATGAATAATTTATAGAAATTTAAATAATTTTTGCTGCCATCCTCCAGAATAAGGTAAAATTGTAATCTTGAGTGATAGTGGCCTTTTAATCATAATTGTTAATGTCCTACACTATCTACCTTTTTTATGTCATTGTACCTTTTTTTTTATCTTGACTCTAAAGATGTGACTACTGTAAATAATAGGTTAATCTCTAAGTGACTTATGATTTTTGTGTCTTTAAATAATATGTTGCTTTTAGGTTATATAACGGTTGGTCTTTTCATGTTTTAGATCAGCACTTGAACATGCTGATAACCTGTTGAGCATGAAGCATGGCCTAGTGAGGTTGGATAATGTCTGGGGAGTAGGAGGTGGCATGAGGCCTGTTAGATACCTCATCAATAAGGTAAGGTGTGTGGAGTGTAAAGACGTGTCATGGGTAAATGTTGAATTATTTAACTGTAAGTAAGAGTTGATTTTCAATTATGTTTGTAGCCAGTTAGATAACCTTATCAGCCTATTTTTATTGTAAGATGAGGAAATTTGATCATTAACAAATGTTTGAATTTTTGATAAGAAATTAATGGATATTTGTTTAAAAACTAGATTGTAAAGACATTGAATTCTCTTGGGAATCTATGCATGTTTAAAAAACACATTATTTTGGTGCAAATTGAAGAGTAAAGGTTAGCTCTTCTATAATTATTAGACCACAAGTATAATATGTATTGAATAATCTGTTTAAGTAGTAGTTACATCATATGGAAATGTAATCAAAAATGTATTTCTCAAAGTTCTCCTTAATTACCTATTTATCTAAATGTAATATATTATAAAAAAATTCACTCTATATCTCTTATTTTTGTTTTAAAAGAAACCTTTCTTTTAGAAGTAATACTGATGATTCATTAATAGTGATAAAATAATTTGTTTTCCATTAACCCTAGTACACAATTACAAGGAAGAATGCATTATTTATATAATTAAAAGAGAACATGGGAAGCTTTTTAAACTTCCATTAAACTATGCTAAAATGAAAATAGGAGTAGGTAGTATGGATGATGTCACCATATGCATAAGGGAGGGGTGGGTGTAGTTTGTACTATGCATTGCAAAGGGAAATATTTGGGGGGAATGGATCTGTCATCCCTCAGAGCCCCATCTCATACAGTAGTGTTTATGTGCTAAGATTTTTTGTGTGAATTTTTTTTTCATTGTTTTTATAGACACTTAGAGTACTGGTACTGTCACCCTGTTGAGTTTATTATTTTTGATCAGACCATTCAACTCAAAATTTGTACTAGAAATACCATAAATAAAAAATGTTTCATATATAAAGTATGAGTTTTTGTCCCTCTAGTAAAATATTAATTTAGATTGGCTTAGGGAAATGAATTGAAATTAACTCAGTTTTGAAGATTGTGTGTTCAAACTTCTCTTTGCGCCAGATTCAGCTGTTGTTAAAGGAATATATGTCATCTGGGGACATCAATGAAGCCACTCGCTGTCTTATAGAACTGGAGGTACCTCACTTCCATCACGAGTTCGTATATGAAGTAAGTTGTTCTCTTACCTTGAAATAAAAACCATTTTGTAAATGTTTTAGTTAGCTCATTTAAGCACAGTGATTACCAAGTCTTTTTATTCTAGTCCTGAATGTTCTATAACATTTATTAGACAAAAAGAAGGTAACCAAAGCCATTTAACCAGAACCATCTCAAAAGAAGATTTAAAAGTTCTCAAGTTAGTCATTTAATTTTTGCACTGTATAACATATAAAAGAACATGTGACAAATGTTTAATAATTGCTTGTTCTCAGTGATAATCAAAATTAATTTAGGTTTGTGTTATTTTCTTATGTGGTCACACAGTTTTTTGTTTTTTTTTATGTCTTGCCTTCTATAAACTGCTATAAATTGTTTTTGTATAATAAATAAAACCTTACTATCATTCAACTGATATAGGGTAAGCATTTAATAAATTTTACAGTCTGTATTTGAGCCTTGAATGTTTCTTTTGTTCATGTGGTCTGGTGATTGAAGCTTTTAACTGATAACTGTTTTAACCACAAGCTTGCTATTGTAATTTTCTTAGGTTCATTATCATAGTTTCAAGGTTGTATTTTGCTACTGTCACCTTTCCATTGGTTTTATATTTTGTTGGCTCATACATGACAGTGCAATCACATTTTTATGTCCACATGGGGAACAATTGTGTGTTGTTATTCTCATATTCTTCCATTCACTATTCATTATTTTTTGATCAGAATGAAACTTTAAGTAACAATATATTTTTTAAGGGAAGGAAGGCTAGGCTGTTTTCAATAATACACAGCAATATTAAATCAGATACTAAAGTAATTTACATCTAGAAATAGCAGAGATGCAATTTCTTATAAAGCAAGATGTTATACAGTTATTGTAGTAGTTTTGTTAGTTTTAACTTAGATTCATAAGATCAGGAGTGTAACTCGTGTTCTCAACAACTAAAATGTGGTTTTCCTCCTCTAGGCTGTTCTGATGGTCCTGGAAGACATCCACGATCTTCTCTCTCCTTTTATCTGCAAGTTGCTGAAAGCTCTTGCAACAAGTGTAATTGTCACGCCAGATCAGATGAGACGAGTAAGCTCTGTTGTGAACTACAGAACACATAAATTAAGAAAATTGTTGACCAGGTTATGAGCATGAACACAAGAATAGCAGGCTAAATTTAGTAATGGGTCTTTCTTTGTTATAATAATTTTTCATATAAAAACAACTGTCACATTCCTTCATAGAAATGAAGATAAGAACATGAACAAACATTTGACTTTCTACATTATTTTACTGATTTTGAGTTTCAAAATTTACAGTATAAGGAAGGTGTCTGTATTTAATATTTGAGTCCTCTTCAACTCACCATATAGTAACCTAAGTTAATTTACGTGCATTAATGAATAATATTATGGCATTGCATCTAATTTATTCTTTGGTATTATACAGTGTACACCAACTGTTTAATGATTAGATTAGATTTTTTTTTTCACCAAAGGTAAAACTGAAAATACAATATTGGGTCAGCAAACCAAAGAAACACAGGAAGGCCTTTAATTTCTGTAGATCCTTCAGTGACATAGCAGTAAGTTGAAAGACTGGATTTCGATACCCAGGATGGGCACAGCACAGACAGTCCATTGTGTAGCTTTCCCTTAACTACAAAACAAATAAACTTATGTCTGTAATTGAAAGAACATACATTCTGAGATTAAAGTTTTATAATTTAATAGACTTGTGTGAACGTGCCCATTGCAATGATGTCATAGGTTTTAAATTGGAAGCAGTATGATTGAACTGAAGGGTTTTGAGTACTTCTAGAGGTAGGGTTGTGGAGTACTGACTTCTGAGTAGAGTATTCTATAGAGATGTTTCAAACACAGATTGAATTTTTACAGAACTAATGAACAACATCTTTGTTTTACTACCAGGGGTTTCAAAGAGTCTATGAAGAGATGGCAGATATTTCTATTGACATTCCTCATGCTTATAACATTCTAGAAAAATTTGTTACTGAATGCCATGCTGCTGGGTTCTTGCCCGAAGAACTCATTAGAAATATTCCTTCCAGGTATGTTCCAGGTTTATATAACTGCATCTGTACTGTTCTATAATCAAAAATGATATGTATTACTTCTTATATCCTTTAAAGTTCAAAGATGTTGACTTAGAACAAAATGAGATATAAAAACAAATCTGTGAAATGAAAAGTGTATTGATATAAATTGGTTAGTAAAATCCTTAATGTTTTTCTACTTTTACAAATTTGGACTTTGATCATAGGAATTGGTTGAAACTTACCATTTTAGAAATATCATTTATTAAAAAACATTAATACTGTCTCATTTTTTTTAATATTTCAGTGTGTGAAATATGAATTTACACTTTTTTTTTTCAGGGGGCGTAAACGGTTTGTCTCTGAAGGTGATGGTGGCTGTGTTAAAAGCAATGGTTATTAAACTTCATTTCCACTTTTTTTTTAAAATAGAGAAGTATAGTATCATCTGGGTACAGTGTGTTACTTTTATTTACACAGTACTTTGATAGAAGTTAGATATTATTGTTTGTTTTAGAACTACTTGAAAAAGACCAAATTTTGTATCTAAGTTGCTTCACCAGGAAATGTGCGGCATGTTCTGTGTTTGTTTTTCAATAATTAATATACTTTTAAGGTTTTGAAGGGTCACTTTCAAAGTTTAGTTAGGGTAAGAAGCTACCATAAATGTATCAATTTTATTATTTTGTTTTAACAGCAGTCAGTCTTGTCATCAAATTTAAGAATTTACAGCTTTAAATGGGTGAAAGGATCATGAATCTTACAAAACTCCAGTTTTCCTAAGAACATTAGGAATTTTAATATTTTATGTGTGAACTAAAGTTTCATAACTTAATTAGTTGAAGAACCTTATCATCATTAGAAATATCTTATATTAAGAGCCTTGGAAAATTTAAAAAATAAAAAACAGCAGGAAGAACTGTTAATATTCCTCATTCAGACTTTGTAGAACTGAAAATATTTTACTGCTAAATGTTTTTGTAGAACATATTCATTATACATCAGAAATAACACAACTGGATACCACCAAAAAGTATTAACATGAAATACTTGTTTTATTAAATATTTTGTTGAAAAAACAAATTACTCTTATGATACAGACATGCACATCCTCTACAGCTTCTGCCAGTTAGTAATACTTGTTTGGTACATCTAATTCAACAAGTGCTATTGAACATCATGCACACCTGGCTGCACCTACTGTTACTATTAAATATAGTTTTTCTGACTTGTAATTCTTACCCTACAGGAGACACACGTTGATTTATATAATGTACCTCTTATATATATATGTATTGTATAGATTTGGTTTAAATTGTTTTAGGTTACATTCTTAAAAATTGAGTGTTGCCCTTTCAAATGATCAATTGAAAATCAAGTAATAAAAACAGTAAATAATGTTGCAGTATTTTTTCCAATATTGATAAAAAAGTAAATATTTAGGAAGTTTTAAGTATATTTTTTGTTTACAGTTTGTGAGGTGAGTACAACATGCATTTACTTGTTGATTTCAAAATAGCAAAGCAATGTGTTAGTTATAAGCTTCTGATTTTGTGTGATTAAGAGTAAATTAAGTAATTGATGACATTACATGATATGAATATTTGGATGCTGTAACTGTTTTCTATATTTTTTTGTTGCTGGCTGAATCAATAAACTGGTTAAAATAATCCAAACCTCTTGTGTGAAAAAACGTGTTTTAAGGGAAAGAACAAGTGGTTAATATATAATAAATGAAGCTCAGAATTAGTGTCTGGTTGTATTTGTGTTAAAAACTTAGATGACACAAATAAGACTTATGCAGTGTATTGGTTATTCACCAAATATACAAGTTTAATGAAAATTGTAAAAAAAAAAGAAAGATGGATGCTCTCTTATAATGACAGTATTAAATGTACAGTTAATTTCATGCACACATTATCATGTCAGTCTCAACTGTAAGTTTCAAGTTGTTATACTCAACAATGATATATTAACCTGGAAAACAAAGTAATGTTAGAACTTACTTTAGACCAATCTACAGTGCATTACAATGCAAACTAGGCTTATAATCGAATAATGAATTTGTGTAGGTTAGCCAGTATAATAATTATAACAAGCTTTAAATCATTTTTGTTTTAAATATGTTTATTGAAATTTTATAATTAATGGATGGTTTTGTAGGTTGGTATTTGATGTAAAAAAATCCATTATTATTTTTCAAAATTTCTAATTAGTATTATTGTGAATGAATCATTTTTGAGTAATTGACAAGTTATGTAAGCAAGGAATTAGTTTAAATTCCTAAAAAATAACGTTATTGTGATATATTGTAATTTAGGCTTAGAATTAAAACAGAATTTGAACTGTAACTGTACTAAAAGTAACAGTTTAGTTTGTTAATCTGTTATTAAAGGTAAATTATGTTAGGTGAAATAACCATCTGTTTTTAATACTGTGGTATGTCTCAGAGATAAGTTGGGTCTGCTAACAAGAGGAGGTTTTCGGGCTTGGATATTTCCAAATAGGTCGCAAAGAATGAGACCAGACACAAGTTTGCACAAGGAATAAATATTTAATACACTTTCACAAATTAAAATACAAAGAAACAATAATGTGATTAACAACTGGGCAAGTGATCCTATGCATGTATGTATGTGATTGGTGAAGAATAATGGACAAAAGAGCTCTTATCAATGTATGTAGATGGAGATTAGTGTACAAATTTGTTTTAATTTAATTGTTAGGTTTGGAAAGTCTCGAAAGAAACGTGCAATAGATATGACTAATTTCAAACCTTCTTAGTTATTTAAATATGTAACTTCCAAGTAAAGCTGTTTATGCATTAATATAACAAGAAACCAGTGATCTCAGATCTTGTGAATAATACAAAAACAATACTATTAGAAAATGTATGTTTGGTATATATTTAAATTTATAAAGACTTGATACAGCTAGCTACTGTATCATAAGATTTGGTTTATGCAACTAGTATCTTCATTGCTTTGAACTTCAAGAATCTATTTAGTTAATGATGTATTGGATAATCAATGTGGTTTTACTAGGGAGGAATCTTGCAAAGTAATACATGTGGGTTATTATAATTTAAACTACTAGCACGTAATACCAATGCTCCAATATGAGGTTCAAAGGCCTCATGTTACTAAGAAGCTCGTTCATTATCTCCAAATACTTTTATAGCTACCTTAAAAGAAGTTCATACATGCACCCCACCCCCAACACACGTGCATGGTACCTGAACACATATGCCAAGTTTGGTCCCACTATCTTAGGTGTGGCAATATGAAGAAAGTTTCAACATGGCATTATAAGGGAGTATCATTAACAAAAAATCTAACACCCAATTTGAGTTCAGCAACCCTGAAAATCTAGTCTTGGATACCTTTTGTGCCTAGGTGTCCTTCCACGAACATTTAGATAAGGAAATGTCGATTCCATCTGCCAAATTTGGTCCTTCTAATTCCAGAACTGTGGGGGGAAGTTAGCTGGACTTACATAACTGCAAGCTGAAATAATATAAGTATAATTCTAATGTGAATAACAGTGTTACAGAATAAAAGTAATGTGGTGTTTTACTTACAGATATATTAAACACAGTTGAAAGAGGTTATAATTCTATTGTACAGGTTACTGATTAGGCCTAATTTAGAGTGTCATGTTCAGTCTTGGTCTTACATTAAAAAGGATAGTGAATTGTTATAAATGGTTCAAAGGAGAGCTACTAGGATGATACCTGGGATGGAAAAGTTGTTATATGAAGACAGGTTAAGATCTCTAAACTTATGTCTTTAATATTCATGTGTGCAATTTGCACAGAATCAAATAGGAAAACAATCAACTACTCCTGTTGTTTAAAATAAAACTTATTTCAATTACTGTTTTCCATATCAACTAAAATAACTGGGAAAGGTTACAGATTAATAAGGGAATTGATAGCATTGATGCATCATCATATTTCATGGTGAGAATGGTAGGACAGGGGAACACAAAAATGTTATCAGCATAGAAGTCATCTTCAACTTGGACAGTTTTACTTTTCTAACAGGGTGGTTGGCCTTTGGAATGGGTTGCCTTCAGATGTGGTGGATAATAGATTTAAGGGAAGGCTTGATAAATAAAGTGGATGGGGCTGCCTCAATAGACCAATAGGAACCCGTCCTTAAATGTTAAATTAAGGAAAACTTGACTAAGTATGAAAGTTTAAAAGGATTAGAATTACAAACACGTTTTATTTCACCCTTTCAGCACGAGCTGATAATCTTGTATCACTTTGACTGTGGAAGGACATGTATGCAAAAAACATATGGTAAATCCAAGCATTTCTCACAAAACACAAGATTTTGTTAAAGTTTATAAGTATTTTGTACACAAAGAATGACATTATTTTAATTATGTCTTTCTAATAAAAATGTTTTTTATCTATAATAGTTGTTTGCACTTAAACTGTTATAATAGTTCAAGGTGATTTTCATTTTAAGTATAAAAATACTTTTCTTTGTCTTGTAGTTTTCATATTTCATTTGCATAATCTCTGGAATCTCCTAAATGAATATCAAAAGTTTTTTTAAGGTAAATTTTTATATTTTATTTTTCAGTTTCTCTACCATATCATTAATTATAATCATTAACGTAAAATGCAATGAAATAATTAAAATTAGGAAATAGAAAAAACACATACTTTTAATTTTTTGTAGAATATCTTTAAAAGATTTTCCTTTTGTTAAATTTGTAATTTCAGGTCTTTTCCTTTTCACATATAGTTCATTTTTGTTTTATTTTCCTCTCTTGTCCTTTACCACTTATTATTCATCTCAACACACATCAACAGTGTCCTTGGGGCATATTACAGTTTATTTGGGAGACATGCGCAACTCTTCTGCAAAGTGTTCGTTCAGCATGTAATATCATAAGCCTAGAGAATGGATGCAAAGTATGATGTATATTTAAAAAAATGTTAACCTTTGAAAACATAATTAACACATGATTAACTAAAATATAATAGTAAACTGTATTCCTTTGTATAACATATTTAGGTAAGAAACAACTAAGTGCTGTAGTCAATCAAGCAACCAACAATACTATAATCAGTTCCACGTACTCCGTGATGGCAACTGGGTGCCAATTTCAATATAACTGTTGTTAGATTATAGTCTAAAATAGCTCTTTCAAGTAACTATACACATAGATATGTAACATCTACATTTAGGCTATAAAGCTCAAACAAACCTGTTGAAGGTAGGTGTGGCAGCTGTAAGGGGGTTGAAAAAATGTATTACTTGTTTTAACTGTATTTATTCAGAGAACTTTGAAATGAATGAGTCAAAAGGTTATGTAAGCATCTTATTGTCTAGATGTACCTCCAATCAACTACCATTGTATTATTGAAGACACAGGACCCAAAGACGAGAATTTTCATAGTTCGTTGGTCACATGACAGTACATCTGAAGTAGTTTTTTTAAAGATGTATTTTGAAATAAAGGACTTAAGATTTGGATAAAACTTTGAATAATAACATACGTTATATTCTTAATTTCATTCACATATACTGATAGTAAAGGTGTTTAATTAAATTTTGATTGCAACAAAGTGACTTGGGCAGAAATGTGTTTAAAGGGGGCTCCCGTTACAAAAGGGTTAATTGGTTTTAACCCTATATTATAGTACATCTGCTTACAACAAGATGATGGAAAATAAAGACACACTTGTTTGATTTAATCTACTTTTATTTCAAGATGCTAAGCTTGCTATTGCAATCAGACAGCTTTTACTAAACTACAAAAATGTATAGCTATGCCCAGTGTGCAAAACCAACCAAACAATAATATAAATATAAACAGAAAATAGTAAAAAAAAAACAATAATAAAAAATCACAGATGTTTATTTCATAAAATCAAAACTCAATTTAAAACATTTTGGAACAATTTTTATACTGCTTATAAACAGTAACCTACAAGAATATTAATTAAAGTAACAGCAGGTATTTTTTTATTACACAAATATAACAAGCATTTAAAAGTATGTAAACGAAATGATAAACTCAAAATTGAAGCATCTTGCGCACAAAAAATGATACTCAGCTCAATTTATATCCATACCTTTTCTGCTTATGTTGTGCTTTCTCTATGTTATTCTTAGATAAGTTTTAGAGAGTAAAACATATTATAGTTAAATAGTTTTTATAATAGTTGCATACTACAGTAAAAAGAAAAATGTTAAACATTATAATGTGTTATATTACTCTTACTACACTGACATGACTGTCAGTGTTTACAATTAGTCAACATAATGCAGATTAGTGCTGATCTCATTCACATTTTCCTGAAAAAAACAAACTGTTGAGTGCAGGTCATGTTTTACATTTCATTGCTTTCCATGCCATAGAGTTTATATTATCAACCCTTTCACAGATCAATGGCAAGAGTCTGTAGCTCTTCCACTTTTAAGCAGGTGCAGTTTGTTCCTATAATTTTTATTTGAACCAGTTAACTGCTTGCAAGAGAATTTAACAATCACAATGGGTAGTGTAGTGTATATACAACTATGTCAAAATGAATTTACTATCTTTCTACATGACAATAGAATTAGATGGACACCAATCTGAACTCGAGTTTTACGGGCTTACACTAAAATTTAAGTGATATTATTAACATAGTACCTGGTATAAAGAACAAGGAAATCTTTTCTAGTAACTCATTAATATGAGTTACTTGTGTTACATTTTCTTGAATTTCTCAATAAATAAATTACAGGTGTAGCAGTCTAAGCACATGGCTTAGATGAGTGGTTAGAATCAATATTTAGGTTTCTATAATTCTGAATTAGTAATTAAGTAAGGTCATATATCTTGAACACAGTTGGGCAATTTTTAGTGACTTGAATTATCACTTTGGGTATCGTACAGCTTAAATGTCCTTGAATCAGTAATTAACAGTTCCTAATGCTACAATAACAATGCTAAGCTAATATTTTATAGGACTTATATTCTGATAAAATCTTGATTACACTCATTTAGTGATACACTCAACAGTTTTAAACATATCGTAGAAGCAGTAAGGTTTGATTACAATACAGAAATTATGAATATAATTTGCTTCAAGTGTCTGTTTGTTCTAAAAAATACTAAACAAAATGACTACACACGAGTTCACAGAATTCATGTATCTATATGCATTAATCTTTCATTGCAGGTATGATTTTACTCCTATTACAAAAACTGGAAGGAACTCTAAGATTTGTTCTTGATATAGTTCATTTTTCAAACTGTTTTTATGTTCTTAAGTATTCATATGTGCAATTTGCACAATTATAAACAGGAAAAAATCAACTAGTCCTGTTGTTCAAAATACAACTTATTTCAATTCAAATAACTGAAAAGTTTATCAGAATTTATTTTGCATGTCTGGATAATATAAACAATGAAAATTCATAGTGAACTTGATTGTGCAAGATAAGATTTCATTTTCAGTGTCTACATCTGAATCAACACCAGTATGCTTTTGATTATGGAGCTTTGAACACACATTGTACCACATTTTACAAAGTAGCACTTGGTTTGTACATAAACCTACACTAAGTATTTGTTGAAATCTAATACAGTTAAACTGAATAAAGAAAATTAACTTTTCATATACATGAAACAAATAGAGCACCATCTCATTAAAAGAAATACCACAGTCTGTGTTTCACACAAAATATGTTGACCTTAAAAAATTCTGTAATTCTTACATAGCATACTATTTCTCTAACTTTAGTTCTTGACGAAAGTACATTCAGTTTAGTTCCAGAAAACTTACTTTCAGCTATGATTTAGTACTGTATTTTCTCCTAATGCATGTCTAAAGTATACAAAAACAGCTCACAATCATATCTTACATAGTTACTCTGCTACATTTTATATGTAACACTACTCAACAGAAATTAGCTATCTAGTCTTTTAAGGGTTGGAAAAACAAAAGGTTTGATACCAGTGAGTTTTGTTAGGCATCACATAGAAAAGATTTAACATTAAAAGTACAAATAATGAACAATACTGTTCTGTGGTCTTCCACAGTGCTAATTATTATCAAAATCACCAACATACTGAGCTGCTGGGTTCATCTTCTTAAACCTTTTAAGTGATTGCACATGCAGTAATTGGTCATTCCATTCATACACCATGTAGTGACATGAGTATAACTACCATCTGTAAGCATGAATAACTTGTAAAAATCCTTCACTAGTTTTCCTCAAAGGGTTGAGATTCTATCAATACTTTATAGCCTAATAAAACCAAGGAATGGCACGAATATTCTTATCAGCCCCTTTTTTTCATTCTTACTTGAATTCCAGACAAACAGAGGAATCCTGTTTCACAAACACTAAACACCACCAAAAACAGAGGTTGACCCTGTTGCTTCACACAAATCCTATAAAACTGAAATAAAAAGGCACTTTTTCACACTATGATCAGAGCTGGCCTTATCAAACAATTCCAAAGTTTATTACAACTCAGGTTTTTAAGATTATCATCTTTGGCTGAAAAAACATCACAGACAATTTACAGGTCCAACCCATAGACAGTTTCAGTTTTTATGGTAACAAATCCTTTGGCACCAATTGCAGTAAGTGACATCATCAAGCCAGCTTACACAACACTTCTTTCTGATCACAGCAATATCTTTAATACTTACATAACTCAACTTTGAATATAAGAATACCACTTGCAAATACTCATGTTATTTTGTTTTAAAGAACACGCCATGTTTAAAACTAATGGATAAAGCAGAGAGTTGTATGTCTTACCTTGAGTCAGTCCGACATGTAATTATGCAAAAAGCACTAACATTATATGTACAACACAAATAAAGCCAGGTTTTATAAACAATATACATACAAGCACAACCTAGCATAATATGTACAATACAAAGATCAAAACTTGTGAACAACTTTGAGCTTATGTTTGGTTGTTCTTTGTATAAGACAAATCAACTTTCAAGAATGACATGTAAAATAAAAAGCAAGACTATACTTGATTCAGCAAATTAGAATTCTATGAGTGTGAAAGAATAAGTCATCAGTCTGTAATTTGCCCATTTATATCTTTAATACACTGAGCAATTAATTACCATTTGTTTTCAAATTATGTACAGTAACAGTTAATTTCTTAGTCTACATAATTATTTAATGACTTAGGTTTCTTGGAAGTCAAGGCCAATTAAAGATGTCTAAAAATTATTTAAAGTATACTCAGACACACTTAACTCAATCACACAAACTCTATGGCTCTGCCATGATTTTCATGTCACAAACTTGCAATAAAGACACATCAAACAACTTGTCCCTGTGCAGAAATACAGTCATGACAAAGGCCTGTAGAAAAATAAAACCAAAAATGGAAGTCCACCCAGCTCCAACTGAAAAAATCCTTGGCATTTTTTGCCCATGCTACACCCACCCCTCTTAACCCCATGATTATTAAATAAAATGTTTAGATGTTGTTGTTTTTTAATATTTACCCCTTGAATAACACAAAACAATTCAACACTTTTTTTTTTTCAAAAATGGGTAACTTTAAAGCTATTCACACCAGAACTTTTACATTACATCTTACATTGCTTTTACCCAACAAGTTTGTTTTTTCAGCTGTTTAATCTTCCAGTGGTTGGTTCTAAGCTTAACCTTGTAAAAACATCGCCAGTTATGATTGATGAAGTACTTGTACAAAAAAAGAGGATGGTATTTTTCTTCATTTTGTTTCTAAGACACTAAAGGTTAGTATCCTGGAATAAGCAGGGTGTCTAATTTTATTATTTAAATGACTCTTATTGCAAAACTATCGTATGATATTAGCAGCTTGAAGCATTTTGAGTATAAGGATGGTTTTTGATAATTTCACCATCATGTATAATGGCAGAAATTGGCTTCAAAGAAAATATTTCAATTCTAAAATACTACTTGAATGCAGTCAATCAAGCACCTAAAAATTCAGATATAACTAGGTTTTTCATACTGTATAATATATAATTTTAATTGAACACTACTAAATATGTAAATAATAATAATTAAAAAAACTTTTCTGTTCAATGCTAATATAATGCAAATGATTAAAATAGAAACAGTTTACCTCTCTAGCCTCATTAAATGACATTCTCATGAATATACTGATATTCAGAATGATACATTTTACTGTAGGATGGTTTTTAATTTCTACAGTTACCAAATTCAAACACTGACATTTAAAAAATTGTCAGTTTTTAACTCGGATAAATATTAGTCTTAAAGGATTGTCATTCATATCTTGCATCACATACCTAGCTGTCTTGCATAAATACAGTGTACATAATATTGTCTGTGGCATGTCAGTATTCCATAAAACAGAAGGGAAAGTTTGCAATGAACATTAGACATAATCACTGAGTAGGTAATGCTTCTCTTACACTACCAGTTTTTTTAAATACTAATTTTAACATTATCCAATGGTTTCTCAAAAACACATTACCAAAACAAGCAATAATGTTTTCATTCTGTATTTCAAGCAAACAATACTTTCACAGTATTCTAATACCAATATATATATTTAATTTCAGCTGGAAAACTCCAGTTCAAATATCTGCATTTTGGTATGCATACAGTAATACATGTGCTTTTTTTCCCTAAGTGAAGAGTTTTTTCAGTTTGTGAGAATATGTTTTTGTGTGACAGTAAATCAGTATTGTAGCTTAAAATATTTTAAGTTTGTTACCTCAACACTTTGCTGACCAGTTACTTCTCTAAACCTTTCTCTCAGTTTCCTCTACATTTTCCCTGTGATCATATTTGCTGGTCATTTCATTACCAATCAAATCACAATACATAAGTTAATTACTCTAGCTAACCAAGAAAAAATACAACTGTGAAACAATAATTAAGAAGGACTACAGTAAGCATAAAATGTAAAGTACAAAAATAGGACCTCAGGAAATCTAACTTGAAAACTACGTTAACTATAGCTGAATGCTCTATGAATGCATCTTAAAAATCATTTTACATCATTTTTTATAACAAGGAACCAGTACTAGTAAACATGAAGTTTAACAGATTTGGTATTTATTTTTAGTATTTCTTTTCTGAAAGATTATTAAAGCTGCTGAAACAGCACCAACTTCCTGTTACACGTAACCCAGTTCCTGCTCATTCAGTCTAAAACTTTCAAAGCATTGGATGTGTAGATTGCACATCCCCCCCCCAACAAAAAAGAAATACACTCAAACTTCCTAGAATGCCAGAAAAATAAAGGACTGCATAGAAATGTACCATGTCCTAAAACTGTTCACCGTGTTTCAATGCATCACATCAAACACTGTTCACCGTGTATCGATGCATCACATCAAACACTGTTCACCGTGTATCGATGCATCACATCAAACACTGTTCACTGTGTATCGATGCATCACATCAAACACTGTTCACTGTGTATCGATGCATCACATCAAACACTGTTCACTGTGTATCGATGCATCACATCAAACACTGTTCACCATGTATCGATGCATCACATTAAACACTGTTCACCGTGTATCGATGCATGACATCAAACACTGTTCACCGTGTATCGATGCATCACATCAAACACTGTTCACCGTGTATCAATGCATCATATCAAACATTGTTCACTGTGTAATTGTTCACCGTATATCAATGCATCACATGAAACACTGTTCACTGTGTATCAATGTACCACATTATACACTTTCACCATGTAAGGATGCACCACGTTACACACTTCCACTGTGTACAGATGTATCATCACACACTGTTTACTGTGTAGAGATGTATCACATCACAGACTATTCCAATATATTACAACACAACTACTCACAGTCAGGATATTGTCACATAACTACTCACGGTAAAGAAATGTATAACATCACATAAATGATTACTGGTTAGAGGTGTATCTCATCAATTAACTATGATTAATTAATTAATTGTAAAGATCACCAGCATAGCGAGGTATAGGGATTTTTAAATAATCATGTAAAGTATACATGATGTGAAACAGTGAAGATCACTGGCATAGCTAGATATAGGGATTTCTAAATATTCATGTAAAATATACATGATGTGAAATTGTTTAAATGCATAAAATTTAGCTTCCCTGTAATTTTATAACTACACATAATATTTGAGCATCATGCCACTTAACCTATATCATGACAGGTCCCCCATTTAGTCACCAGACAAATTCTGCCACATCATGAGATAGTATTAAATCACAGAGATTTTGGATCATCTTAGAATGTACAGTAGGTCACAAATTTCAGTGTTTATTTGTAGCATGTTTAAAAATATGCTCAAGAAACAATGATTTGTATCACACAAACGTTTAGTACTTACAGATATGTCACATAATAAAAACACTAACTGATGCCAAAGAATCAAGTCAGACATGTTACAACATCGTAAACTATTGTGTCACATGAGGATGATAGTGAATTTCAACTCTTACAAAGTTGTGTGTAAAAACATGTCATTAGCAGTCTTAAGCACAGATGATGCAAGCCATGGCAGCCACAAATAACACGAGCCTATCTTCAGTGTGTAAAAAGGGTTTATACAATACTGCTATTAAACATTCTTCCAACTTTTTGGCAAGCTGACATTATATATACAGCTTAGTTAAGGTACCATCAAACAGCAATCACACTCAAATAGTAAAAGAAGACAACACATCTACCTTTTCTTTCAGAAACCCACTTATGAAATTTCAGCACAGTTTTAATCCATTACACCCCAATTTTGTGCGCATTTACCATGAAATGAATACTTTACAAACTGTGAATACTTCAACAAATTTGAAGCTTATCTTCTTAAGAAAACACAAGCTACCATCTAATCATTTGAAAGCTTATAAATTACCTGGTCTAATGCAAAAGGCAGTGTATTAGAATGTTATGAGATTTTATTGAGAAAGTAAGTGTGATGGTTGCAGACAGTATTCATTACTGACCTACAGTAACATATCCCATGCTACCATCAACAAGAAAATAATTAGCTGTTAAAGTAACAGTCTGATTTCATTTGTGTTAGGTTCATAAAAGCAAAAATTATTCGTTAAAAATATATAACTGCAAGACGAGTGCAAGTTTGCAGATAATGTAACTAAGATAACATTAGATTCCATGGGATTCTCCAAAACACATTTAATAATAAAATTACTTATTCCTAAAGGGATTGAACGACAACTTCTGTGTATGACTGGCAGCAAAAACTAAAACATTTTATGGCAGTTCTTTTTCTCTTCTCAAACACATACCATGGATTTCATAACCACACTTCTACACAACTCTATCATGCTGAAGAACTCAAATAGCACAAAATGTGTGTTTATATTTTGGTTGTTTATCAAAAAAGATTTATTAAAACTTAAATTCATGTATAGTTTAATAAAAGTCAATATCATAATGCAACAGGATATAGTACATATTTCTATATGTACATATAAATCAACTGTCTAGGTACACTACTTACATCTAACACAAGTGTTAGTAATGTGTGATGGAAGAACCTATACTCAAATTTTCATTCACATTAAACAACAAATAAATCTTTTTGAATGATCTTATTGTATGGGGGATTGTCATTCACTTGCATTTGGTGTACCTGATGATGATTATCCTAACCATCACTAATTACTGACTGTAAGCCCAAGCACATTCAAAACACCTCATAAATCAATTAGTCAGTCCATATGTTACAACAATCAATAAAATTGAGTTCTCTATGTAATAATACAACTAGGTATTTCTCAACTTCACACTAGTGTGATATTCTTTTCAAAAACTTAACACATAAAACAGAAATTAACAGATTCACCGGTATCACCATTTTTACATTTATATATAACTTACACAAAGCACAAGATTTTAAGTATAAATAACCTAGGCTACAGTCAAATTCAGATGAGTGTGCACCAGATTCTGAAGTATAAAGTCATGTATTACTATGGAGTATTTTTCCTAATTTTCAGAGTTGAAAATGGCATATTTACAACAATGCTATGAAGAAGAAAATGTGATATCGGTGTTGTAAGTACATTGTTGTGATCTTTCAACTGACATTTTCCAGTTCATATCTTCTGCATACTTTTAGTTCATATTACTAAATGCCAAAAAAACATACACTGTTATGCATTACAAAACTCACTTCTGTCTCTCTTATTTCACTGCATAATAAACTTGATCTCTGTAAAGATGCCAATATTCTCTATCGACATTGTAACAAGTTATACTGTAGTCTCATGTTTTATACTAGAAAACTTGTAAAAAGACAGTAAATCTTTTCCACAGGAGTAATGAACCACAGTGCTAATAACTACACACTGTCCAAAATGAAATTTCAACAATTACAATAGCAATCACCTTCAGAGACAACATCAACCATACACTGTCAGGATAACTCTCTCTTCTGGACATCTTGTACATTAGCTTCTTTTCAATTTTTCAAGAATACAATTTACACTATTCTGTGCTTAATACATGCCACATAAGAATATATATATATACACACACACACATATATATATATATATAATATATATAGACACAAAGCAAGAATCATAATCAACATTGTATGTGTATAAACTTCATAAATATTCTATGGTAGACCCTAACCTCATACCATATGAATACATTAAAAGGTGAAGTTTTTACAAATATTATGCAACAGTTTGGGTAATTCAGTGGTTGGAGTGACATTCAAATAATTTCTTTCTATAAGAACTTAAAAGGGCTTGGTTGAAACCATTGCTCAGTGGCAAAAAGTTGATGAAAGTTGTAAAAGCACAAAAACCATAAATAAAAATCTTATTATCCACTAACATCACTGGAATACAGTACCAGATTAATACTTTATACAGATCATATTCCAACTACATCTCACGTCTACGGAATATGATGGCCATATTCTAAACAAAACCCCTAGTAAGTGTATTTACATAACCCATATCAGATATGATAGCTCAATGTTCACTACATGAAAATGAACTTCTAGGGGAAATACCAGTATCACTGGTGAATTACATTACAACACAAATCCTTCCTAGTGATATCCAAATTCTCAGGTTAAAAATACATTTAAAACTGATGTTTGGATACATTTCTTACATATAAAATATATCTCTCACAGTGATGGTAACCAAAGATCAAATTTTCAAATATTACATCTACAACCAAACAAAATATATGGCAACAATGATTTGGTGTATTGTGAGATAACTTTTTTACATATTTGTAAGACCTCCAAATATTTATAGCAAAGCCTACATAAGTTATCAAAACAAACATCTTCAACTCATTCTGAACTAACTTATGTAGCAAAAATTAAGGAACAAGTGAACAGTACAAGATCCAACACTGTTCATGGAAAGGAAACAAAACTAACCTCTGTTGACAATTTACTCATTAACTAAGAACACAGTTTATTTACAATGTACATAACACATTTGCAACTAATGTTAAAGCTTTGAAATAATGCATGCACAAATCAAAATTCATGTATGTAGTTAAAAAAAAAAAAGGAGTATTATATCATAAAAAGTTATCTACTGAAATAGTTGTTGCCAGACATCAATATACTTAATGGTAAAAAACTTTTATGGGAAATAAAAAGGGGAAGTGGGAGTATCCATGCAACTTTTAGAATTTAAGTTTTGTGTATTTAAGTACAATTTTTTTTAGTTAAATACTAACATCCTATATCTTTGCACATTTTAGAGTGTGGAAGCTTTATGCATCCCAACGTACCGAAACCATGATTATTATTTTTTACTTATTAAAAGTATTACAAACTAATCCATGCTTTTAAAATTACAGGCCAGAATTTTTGTACTGAGCAGCCAAATACAAAAAAAGTGCTTATACTAACAATAGTTAAATGAAATATACCAACACCACTTTTAATTAACTGAACATGGGAACTTTTCTATTCACGTCTTAAAGAAGTACTAGTCGATGGTAAATTTCTGTGCTGAAAAGCAGATACTTCTTGGTGACATACCATATGACACTGTAAGCTAGCTTGAGTTACATATGATCTCTTACAGATAGGACATTGATAAGGTTTCTGCATCGATGGATGCCTCAGGTGCAATTTTAGGTGTGTTTTCATGTTGCCTTTCTGTGTGAATAGTCGGCCACACTCAGGACATGGAAATCTACGTTCTCCGGTGTGAATCAACATGTGGGTTTTCATGTTGCCACGTTGACTGAAGGTTTTGCCACAAATTTCGCAGGGATATGGTCTCTTTCCAGTATGCGAGTTCATGTGGTACTCTAATCCTAGTTTCTGAGTAAACGTTTTACCACATACTTCGCATGCAAATGGTTTCACTCCTTCGTGACCCTGGACATGAATCTTCAGATTGCCTTTAAGTGTGAATCCTTTACCACAGTACTGGCACCGATAGGGCTTTTCACTGTAGTGAGACCGCAAGTGATGCATCAGAAGGCTTTTCTCTGTAAATGACTGGAAACAAACTTCACAGGGGTAAGGTTTGTCACCACTGTGAATTGCCTGATGACTCTGATAGCTTTCCAAGGTTGCAAAACACTTTCCACACAGCTCACAAACAACAGGATCTGTTATACCATGCAAAGCTCGACAGTGGTCAAGGAGGGTCTTCTTCTGAGTGAACTTCTCTCCACACATGTTGCAGCTCAGAATTTCAGTATAGTGACAGGGCATGTGGAAATGAACATCTTTTTCAACAAATGATTTTCCACATGAATGACATGGATGTACTTTTTCAGTGCTTTCACTCCTCTGTTCTTTAGCTTGTGCTCCTAATTCTGGAGAAGAGCTCAAAACAGGAATAATACCACCCGATGAAGCACTACTAGGACTACCCCCTGAACTACCTACTGACATTTTGGATCTCTCAAAGTTGAAATTAACAGAAGTACTCAAATTGTTAATTAAGCTTTCTCTTCCTAGTCCAGAGATTCCATCACTATCCCCTGTATGCCCTACTTGAGAAGGGAGTCTATAGAAAAACCCAAACCCAGGATCCATTCTATAGACCTGTTACAAATTCTTACGTTCTGCAAGATATACTAACTTCGTAACGATTTGTTACATTTAAAAAACAATGTATTCTATGCCCATTTAATACTTGTCACTGTACATTTTCAATAGAAAAATGCCAATGGTTTTTAAAATTTCATTACAAGTATATATATATATATACAGAGTGGAACACACAGGTGCAAACTATATGCAATACATTGAGTTAAGCCATTTGAAAATCCATCTAATTTGATAAGCTAACATTAAAGAAATTACACAGAAATAAAGCATGCTAACATGTCCCTACATATCTATCAAAGTACATCAGTGTAACTTATGCAAGTGGTTATATTTCATTACCTAATTGCAGTGGCAGTTTTACTTTCACTCAAGACTTGTACATATATGAAATAGTTAAAAACTCATTTTTTTTTCCACTTTTACTCATTTTTGTTATAACATATGAAAATTATCCTGTTGTCAACAAATACTACCTGTACCAATTAGAAAAGTTTATTATTAGTACTACTACTACTAGTAGTAGTAATAGTACTAAGCTCTGCATTTGTATGGGCAAATGGTAGAATTAGAAAATAGGTAGTATTAATTATTATTACTAATAGTAATAGTTATTACTAATATTAGAATATTTTCAAGCCTAGCCCTAATCCTAAGCCTCAAATTCAAAAGTTCACTTGCAAAAAAATGAAGTTAATTCTCAAACTAAGATGAAGCAAATAATTGGCCGATCATAGTTTTGTGAATTGTAGGCTTATGTTAAACCTCTTTCACACCAGTCCAGAAAACTGACGCGAACAACACAGCTGCAAATACAAAGCGTCGTCTCGCCAAGTCATGATCGCTGAGTAACTTCGGCTAGCTGCCTTTGGACTCGTTAATCTGCGATTGAAATTTTTTCTTTCTTTTTTTTTTTCACTTTGGAAGGTTATATACCAATACAATTCTAAAACAAGTTATTTAAATTTATCATTCGAGTTTTTCTTATAAAATGTCAAGTTCATCAGCGCTTTTTAAGATTAAAGTAATAACTGAGCAAATATATTTATAACACGAGTATCCATACTGAGAAGCATAAGCCTAAAATCCTAATACACTACCACACCACATCCAAAATGTCTTTCGTTGATTCAATTGCTTTCCGGAGTCGCCCCAGCCGGGCTTTTTTTTTATCGTACCTTTTTAACAGTTCGAAAATTATTCTCATCCATACTGTTAAATCATACAACTAGATTTGGACTATAAATAGTATAACAATAATATACAACAACTTAGAAATAAAAATTGATATTAAATTTAACATATACAAATATTAAAATATACGCAAGTTAGAATACTCTGTAAAAACAATAAGACTAGAGTATAGTCACGTTGTGAGAACCGAAAACACTAACAAAGTAATCTCTAACTTAAGTTTGTGGTTGATGATAAAAATTCTTGAATGAGTGTTGTTCCGCAAGACGTGAGAAGAAAAACTTTGATAAACGATAAAAACGAATAAATTGACACGTCTAAACGAAAACATTTTCTAGTTTATTTTGTGCAACGTTTCCATTGTAACATGGTCTTTACTGCCTGATGAAGGACATCTGCTCGAAACGACGCACAAAATATACAAGAAAAAAAAAGTTTTCATTCAGACATTTCAATTTGTCCTTTATTATCATCTAACTAAAGTTTGATTGTCAATGGTTAAAACGCAAATCAAACAATTTATTTTCTGGTATATAATCTTTATTGTTGTTTTTCTTTTCAGAGTGCATAGCGCACGATGAAGACACTTTGGGAATGAACGATCTTTATCTTGAGATAATAGAATTATTTTCATTGCTTATCTCCCAGCATTTAGGTTTTACACTTTCATCATGGAAAATACATAAATGTCTTTTTTTTCTTCTTCTTGGAGGTGGAGATAAAGGTCGTTTATTTACAAACCATAATCTTACTTGTCAATGATCAAGTGAAGCTGATATTTATAACACTTTGAAACAATGTTCACAAACCCAAGTACTTTTGATTCTGAGATACATATTCCTTCTACTTTAAAATCTTAATAATATTATTGGCGATTTACAACTATAAGTTAAAATTATTTAATTTTGTGTGACAAACATTTTGTTCGAGAATTAAAAATTCTCGTATAACAATATTATTATGATGTTCTTAGGTGCACTGATTATCTTACAGAAAAGTATAGTAACCGCAATAACAAAAGAAATGAAGGAAATTGTGATGCAAATTTTTTGTGTGTTTGTTTATTGTTAAGCACAAAGCTTCACATTGGGTTATTGTGTTGTGCCTATCATGGATACAGAAACCCGATTTTTAGCACTATAAGCCTTCAGACTTGTCAATGAGCCACTGAAGAGCGGAGGTGGAGTTAACATTGAATTTTCGCCTTGACTAAGTTGAAGAACGAGACTAAACACAAAGCAATCAAAGTGAGAGGTAATTTTTATTTATTAACACCACAAGTCAAGTATAACGAGTACGCAGAATCCTGGACATCATTCAGTTTCAAACTGCCAAGTGCTCTGAGATCTGATTAAAACTAAGAGAGTTTATACATGTGTTACGTCTCTGTTCGTTTGATGATTTCCCGTAAAAATTATTCCCGGGAACTTCAGCGATACGAGCCCTTTCTTAAATAAAACTAGTTTATTCTTCCTCAATACGACTTTGCAGTACACAGAATTTCCACAGTCACTTTAACTTAAACACACGCTATAATTCACAACGATTTGCACACTTTACTTAAGGCTTGACTCGATTATCTGCTATTCAATTGTCTATCACGTCACTTCTCGCCGGTCTTATATATATACAAAATAGAGGGCGTCTGGTAAACACTCGAGCCTTCAGGAACGTTCGAGATACTCATTACTTGTTACCAGAGTCACGTGACTTCCTTAGTATTGTTCGTCCCGAACAATAGCCACTTAAGTTAAACCAATAGATAATTAACGATAACTTAATTAAATGTACAGGATTTACAAACACAAAATTAAAATTCAATAAAGTCTCTTAATTTTACGGGACGTGTCTTCTTCTGTACTGGCTTCTGCTTCACGTGAAGTTCATCTGCTCCATCAGGAATTGTCCTATTATCGGTAATAGTCACATCAGTGGTAGTAACTTCGTAAAGGGCTTCACTGTTTCCCTTCTCAAAACCGAGTAGAGTTTCTTCTTCGACAGTGGCTTTTTCAGGTGACACGTCTTCAGCAGCATCATTTGTTCCATTGTTAACTTCGTTCCAACTGAAATGTCCAGGACTGTGATAATGCCAAATCATGTTGGCATGCACGACCTATGGCTTACTTCGCCAACCACATTTTATTCGGAAAGACACGTCGTGGGGACGATCCTTTATGTCATATGAGCACTCCCCTGGAGAAGACAACTTAGGAGACTTCTCTTTGGTCTTCCTGGGATTATACAACCACACCTTGTCTCCGGGTACAAAGCTGACTTCAGTAGATTTCTTAACATAACATAGCTTCATGGAATCAGCAGACGTTTTTAAGCTTGAATGCACTTGATGATGAATATCGTCCATCCTTTCAGATAAAACTTTCACGAACTCTGGGATATTTTCATGCAACTCTTCGTAAGGTGGGCATACTATTATCAGATCCACTGGCAACCGAGGTTCCCGACCAAACATCAGCTTTGATGGAGTGTATCCAGTGGCTTCATGCTCTGCTGTTCTATAGGCCATCAACAGTGGAGGGAGAAAGACATCCCAGTCATCTTGGCGGCTATTACAAAAATTGCTAATTCCTGTCCCAGTGTCCAATTGTACTTCCCTACCATCCCATCAGACTGTGGGTGAAATGACATTGTCCTGGTCTTTCGTATGTCAAACAACTTGCAACATTCATGGAACACAGCTGATTCAAGTTCAG